AGCAGAGCCTACGTGCTGACAATGAAGCCTGGTGGACAAGTAGGGCTCAATAAATGGAGGAGGCAGAAGCAGTAGGCAATTACCGCAAGCTCTTCCAGCTAATCCGCACCACTGGTCCTAGAAAACCAGGCGTCAGTGAGACAATCAGAGACAGCGCGGGCGCGCTGATACACAATAAGGAGCGCCGTATGGCTCGTTGGGCGGAATACTTTCAAGGTCAGTTCAGCTGGCCCCCTGCTCCCAGACCGCTTCCTACTCAGGTGATGCAGGACGAGCCATGGACGGTTAATTTAGAGCCTCCGTCGGAGGCCGAGGTCCGAAACGCGATCACTGCCCTTAATCGTTTTCATGCCGCCCGCCCAGATTCCCTCCCACCTGCACTATTTAAGGATGGAGGTAAGGTCCTCTGCAAAGCACTGACTTCCCTATTCGAACGTATTTGGAAGGAAGAGAATGTCCCAGCTAATTGGAGCGAATCGATTATAATGGCAATATACAAAAAGGGCAGTCGCACAGACTGTGCGAACCGCAGGGGTATTAGCCTAATGCCAGTTGTGACAAAATTGCTGGCCCCGATCATCATTCGTCGCCTCACTGCAGAACGGGAATCTCGGATTAGGGAAGAGCAGGCCGGTTTTCGCCCAGGACGTGGCTGTATAGACCATATATTCACTTTGCCACAGGTGCTAGAGCAGCGCCACGCATACCGCAGACCGATAATAGCTGTGTTCCTCGATTTCAAGATTGCGTTCGATTTAGTCGATCGATCGATTCTGTTCGAATTACTTGCGCGAAAAGGTGTTCCCACGAAATATGTGAACATCCTTCGTGCTCTATACTCGAACACTACAGGCCGCGTCAGGGTCTACGGTGTCCTATCGGATAGCTTTCCGACCACAAGTGGCGTCCGTCAGGGTTGTCCGATTTCCCCATTTTTGTTCAATTTCGTCGTGGATTCTATCATGAAGTGTTCCTCTGTCCAGACGAGCTATCAGTCTTCATTGGCATATGCACTCAGTTGCAATCCACCTCAAGAAGTGGAACAACACTGGACTTGTATACGGAAGGCAATGACCATTTCCGGATAGTCATGCTGCGGCCTAACTCGACGCCCATTGAAGGCTTGGATCTCTGCTCATTCTCTGGAGCTGTTCGAACGCCGCAAAGATATACCCGCGGAATCAGATTGCAACGAGCGGCGCCGTTCTGCCAACCGGCTGCTCAAGCAAAGCCTACGCAAGGATCGCGAGACGTGGTGGTCTGAACGCGCTTTAGAGATGGAGACCGCTGCCCTCTCTGGCAACACTCGCAGGCTTTTCCAACTCATACGGTCCACTGGCCTCAGGAAACCTGGTGTCAGTGAGGTCATTTGTGAGGTGGATGAGTCTCCGATCAACAACCAACAGAGGCGTATGGACCGTTGGGCCGAGCACTTTCACTCGCAGTTCAACTGGCCTCCACCATCCATCAGTACATGCAGTACACGTTGTTGTCCACCCTGGCTCGTCCCTCTGAATCCACCCAGCGAAGCGGAAGTCGGCCTTGAGATTCGACGCTTGAAGCGGTTCAAGGCTGCGGGCTTAGACGGACTTCCTCCGGAGCTATTCAAGTACGGTGGTGTGGCGATCATTAACCAGCTGACCGCGCTGTTCGCAAAAATTTGGCATGAAGAGAAAGTGTCTTCCTCTTGGGGCGAATCAGTTATTGTCCCGATTTTCAAGAAAGGCGCTCGCACTTCATGTGCAAATCATCGCGGGATTAGTCTTATTTCGGTTGCCTCTAAGCTATTGGCATCTATTCTGCTTCGCAGACTATCCCCAATACGTGAATCATACTACCGTGAAGAACAAGCTGGTTTCCGTCCTGGCCGCGGATGCGTGGATCAAATCTTCACGCTCCGCCAGCTCCTCGAACATCGCCACATTTATCACAGGCCCACTATCATTGCATTTCTAGACATACGTGCCGCTTTTGACTCCGTTGATCGACCTGCTTTATGGCGTTGCTTACAAAAGAACGGGGTGCCAAAGAAATATACCGCCATCTTACGAGCACTTTACCTTCATACATGCGGCAGAGTGAGGGTCTATGGCAAGCTTTCCTCGCAATTCACTGTCAATAGCGGTGTGCGACAGGGCTGCCCTATGTCCCCATTCCTCTTCAACTTCGCAATCGAAGACGTTCTGTCGAATGCTCTAGAAGGTTTCCAACATTTTGGCCTAGAGCTTCTACCGGGTGGGCGCGCGACCGACTTAGATTATGCTGATGATATCGCCTTACTTGGTGACGATCCTCAGAGTATGCAACTCATTCTGGATCGTTTGGCGGTTGAGGCATCTAAGTATGGCATGACCTTCGCCCCATCGAAGTGTAAAATACTGCTCAAAGATTGGCATTTGCCTGCTCCCGTACTCACTCTCGATGGTGCACAACTTGAACAGGTAGATAGTTTCGTCTACCTTGGGAGCTGTATTTCTGCTGATGGCACTATCAACAAAGAAGTTTCTCTTCGTATCGCTAAAGCTCGATCGGCATTTGTCAATTTGAGGCACTTGTGGCGTCGTCGCGACGTCTCATTCTCACTAAAGGGCCGAGTTTACAGTGCAGCAGTTCGCTCAATATTGTTGTATGGGTGCGAGTCCTGGCCGCTTCGCGTGGAAGACATGCGTCGTCTTTCTGCGTTCGATAACGGTTGCTTAAGGAGGATCGCGCGTGTTTGGTGGCAACATCGAGTTAATAGTAATGACGTTCGACGTCGCATCTTGGGGAATGCGAGTATTCCCTTCAACAAACTGGTTTTGTTGCGCCAGTTGAGGTGGCTCGGTCACGTTCTACGCATGGCACCTGAGCGTCTACCGCGTCGCGCTTTATTCGCTCGTCAAGGACCTGGCTGGAGGCGACTGCGTGGTGGTCAGCCTTCCACTTGGCGGCAGCACATGAAATCGCTGACGTCGTGTCTAGCCGCTGTAGGATCCGTACGTCTTCCAGGATGGGGACCCAAAGATGAGGAGTGCCAATGGCTTAGCACTCTTGAAGATATGGCCCGCAACCGGAATCAGTGGAAGAATTGTGTACATTATTGTATTGATTCACATGTTTAATTCTACAAACATTAAAATGACAAAAAAAGAACAAAAGCGGCGTGTGAAAAACATACTAAAAATGTTTTGTTCTGCTTTTTATCAAACTGTTCCATTCTTCCTGCGGCATATTAGTTGAAGTGTGTTGCTCACCTTCAACTAGCATGCCACGATGATTATGACGCTTTGAATCTTGTTTATCCCCTTATCTCTATGGTTTTAGACTGGCTCTTTGTCTAGCTAATAGACTGTTGAAAATATATACATACATACATACCCTTGCGGAATCTAACGATGTACGCGTTGAAGTGCTGCCTGGTGAAAGGTTAGTTGATCTAGATTATGCGGACGATATCGTCTTGCTTTTCGACAATGTTGGGGTGGCACAATCAACCTTGAATAGCCTGTCCAGAGTGGTCCCATTATTTGGTATGCACTTCGCACCTTCAAAGTGCAGTGTTGCTGCAGGACCACCAGCCACTTGAACACCCCTTGACGCTTGCAACGAGGAACTCGAGGTGGTTGATCACTTCACTTATCTTGGCAGCTGCATCAGCAATGATGGGCGCATAGAAACTGACGTCAGCTCACGCATTACAAAAGCCAGAGCTACCTTCTTGAAACCGTGGCATCTTTGGAGACAGAAGGGAGTTTCCCTCCGTCTGAAAGGCCGTGTATACAAGGCCACAGTGAGGTCCGTTCTGCTCTATGGTAGTGAAACTTGGCCCCTTCGGTCTGAAGATCTGAGGCGCCTTCAAGTCTTTGATCATCGTTGTCTGCGAAGCATTGCTGATGTCTGATGGAACCAGCGCGTCCGCAACGATGATGTGCGTAGGCGAGTACTAGGTAGTGATAATCATGCTAGCTCCCTAGAACAACAGATAGTACCGAATAAGTTGCGTTGGCTTGGGTACGTGCCACGTATGCCTGGTCACCGCTTACCTAGGAGGGCTTTGTTTAGTCTGCCAGGGGTAGGGTGGCGCAAAGCTCGAGGTGGACAGAAGTTGACTTGGCAGCGGAAAGTGAAGACACTGATGACTAAACTGGGTGCCCTTGGTCCGTCTCGTCTTCCGGGCTGGGGTCCACGCGACGCGCCTTGTGCTTGGCTCGAGACTTTACAGGACATGGCTCGCAACCGACACCAGTGGCGCGTCTGCTGCCCTCTTCTAGTCGGATTGCCTGTTTAAAGTGTGGTGCTGAGTTACCTGTGGGGTAATGGCTGATTATGACGCGGGGCATTGAAAGCCGCAAAGAAGCTGTCTCGCCGATGCCGCCTTATCTTTGCACGATAGCCAGCTGTTTGTGACGGTATGTTGTATACACAAGGTGTAGGCGCCTTAACCCTGAATGTTTGCTTAGGGCATTAAGATTTTCACGTAAGTCCCCCTTCTCTTCCTGTTCTTATTCCATATTTCATAGGTCCTCATGGTTGTATGGCGGCGAAGCATCAGTTCAAATGGCTGATGTACTGCTGTTGATGATGATGATGAATTCAGGAGACAGTTCCCCATAGATCTTTCCCTGGCCTCAGGAGCCACGGTAGAAACTTCAAAATGGAGGTTTGCCAAGCATGGATAGACAGTACCACAAAATGGAACGACCAACAATCGGCAGCGACCTTTAGATCAAGGAAAACTACCATATTTGTTCGTAGTGGTGGAGGCGAATTTAATCACGTTAGCCTTAGTTATTCTTGTTGTTTGAGCTTTCACGGCAGTTCCACAACAGTCTTTTAATTAGCTGAACGCTATTCACTTGCCACTGCAGTTTTGGTGAATTTCCATGAAATAAGAAAACGTCAGATTTGGAAAGCTCATACCGAACTTGATGCGACCTGTTAGTGTAGAAACGAAAGCTAGAAATGTGTATCAGTACAAGTGACAAGCAGACAAGATCAGTCTCATGCAAGGCAACACCAACCTCGTTTCACACGCCGCAGTATCTCCTGTTTCAAAAGATCGGCTTGGTGGTTTTGTGGTTGCACTTTGAGAATGCCATCGCAGCATTCAACAGCCCGTTCATAATCCTGAAGAAATATACTTAGGTTGATAGATGAGTGGTACCGCCAATTTTGTATATGCGACAGCCATGTAAAATAGACAATCTCTTTTGATTCCATCATCCACAGTTCGCTTAAATAAGTCTGAAGGATTAGTCACACAATAAATGAAAAAAACCCTCAAACAGGTTGACAGAATATTCCAAGTTAGATGTCCGACTGGTTCGGAGAAGGTCTACTGCATAGACGAACTGTGAATTCTCATCAGCGACGTTAGAGCGTTTGGATGACTCAAATTCCCTCTTTGATTTCTACAGAAACAAATGAGAGAAGAAATCAAACCTCGGTCACTGAGTCAGGAAGCTTGAGATCCAGGAATTCCATGGGTTCAATTGGGGAAGTACAGGAGTGAATCTGTAACGCGAACTCCGCGGGCGACGGCAAGCTGAAAATAGTCAACAGGCATTAAGTTCTAACAGTGACAACCAGCGATGGGCATAGTAAATAAACGATGGAAAGACGCGAGGGAAAAGGTGTTGAGAGAATAGGATGAACAGACTAGCGTCTCGTAAGACCAAGTCCCGCCGCAGTATCATCGCAATCGATCGCGTCCAGTGAAAGACACTGAGCAGCAGTTGAACAGATCTCTTATCAATGACCAACGGATGCGCTAATAAGCATCAGATCGATCGAACGAGCGAACGCTTAAAAGATAGTTGATATGAACGTAATGAAAAACGAAAAAATAAATCGCCAATATGCGGATACATTAAGTGTTGTGTTCGTGACACAGCTGGGATATCTAGAAACTCAAAAAGGTGTAAAAGGAGAAAAGTTTAGTTCGGTTCAGTTGATCGACCACGATCCGCACACTGATATGCGGTGAATTCAGCTGCCTTGACATACATCACCAAAATAGAAAATAACGATAATAAGAAGTAAGAAAGAATGATAAACAACATGGTCAGAGGGAACAATGAAGTCATAAACAAGAGAATGAGTGCAAGAACGCCACTAAATACATGACATTGTCAAGCACTGTAAAGTATTCAAATGCTAGTAGGTCAGTGATCGATTGGATAAAGCGCCTGTCTTGTAATCCATGGGTCACCGATTCTAATGGGCGCAGTTGCGGGAGAACACGCAGTACCTCCAGTTTGCGCCTACCTGGCTGTGACTGCACGGCAACGAGGCGTCCGTATGTCGTACTGCCGAACTGTTGATTCTCATATAACTACAGAGGTGGCCGAGCTTGAGGACGCAAACTAAGCAGGCGATAAACATCAACGAGGGATGAGAGGAAAATCGAATGCCTTAAGCTTCCCCCGGAGAAGCTCCGTGAAGGGTTGCATAACCGAAGCGCAATTAGGTATGGAACGATGATAAAAGTCGACCAGACCATCGAAGCGTCTTGGCTACTTGAAAGAGTGAGGCTCGGGGTAGTCGATGATGGCGGTAATATTATCCTGCATTCGCACGACGCCTACAGAAGAGATACGGTGGCCGAGAAAACTGACCAAATCGACAACAAACGAACACTTTTCTACGTTGATCGTCCCCCCGTGTTGAGAGAAACGATCAAAAAGCGTTCGAACGTGACGCAAGTGTTCCTCGCGTGCGGAGCTCACGAGTAAGATGTCGTCATCATCATCATCATACATGTTAGCCAGAGATGGGGAACACTTCAGCTACTGTGCCGCAATACATAGAAAAAAGGGGGGAAACAACTGGTGCAAGCCGACTGAGCTACCGGTAACGGATAGGCATCGTTCCGGTAAGCTACCAGCCGGCTACTGTGCATCAAGAACAAATTACTATGCAAAATTATACAAGGCTAAATAATGAGATCGTGGTTGGAGGAGAAGGCTAGGAGGGATGGGGTGGGACAAAGAAATTCACAGCACACGCCACTGAGGTCGGCTCCTTGCCATGTCAGCAAGTGTGTCCAACCAAACGTGTTCATAGTCTTTTGGACCCCAACCAGGGAGCCGAGACGCTCCAACCTAGGCCAGCTCAGAAGTGAGGGCCTTCATTCCTCTCGACCAAGTCATCGCTTGGCCACGTTTCCTCTTCTTCCATCCATACCCCCGGCGCGCAAACAACGCACGTCGCGGGAGTCGGTGGGCTGGCATGCGTAACACGTGGTCAAGCCATCGGAGCCTGGTGCGTGAAATGGTGCTGAGCGTTTCAGATCCTTGTCCTGGGCCGTAAACGAGGCGTCGAACACGCTAGTTGCTCACGTGATGTTCCCACCAGAGGTGAGCGAAAGTACGAAGGAACCGGTGGTCGAACGTAACTAGCCTCTTCCGGTCCGTTGCTTTAAGGGGCCAGGTTTCACAACCGTACAGTAGGGTCGAACGTACCGCTGCATAGTACACTCTACCCTTCAGGGCATAGCATAAGCGAAGTCCAAACCGCAACAAACTTGGTTGATGAAGCGCTGAAAAGTTTGCACGGCATTCCTTAGACCCAATGGCATGCGCAGAAACTCAAATAAACCAAATGGGGTGTTCACGGCAGTTTTAGCTTCGGCTACCGGAATTTGGTTGTAAGCGCGCACAAAGTAGGTGTTATTAAAACGTTTTAAAATCCCAGACTATCGGGAAGGTCCAAGATATGTGGGATAGGATAGCGATCAGGCGTGGTTACGTTGTTTAGAGATCGATAATCGCCACAAGGACGCCAGTTCCCTACAGTCTTTTTCGGAACTATGTGGAGAGGTGACGCCTATGGGTTGTTGGATGGTCTTATGATACCGAGCTGAAACATGTGATCGATTTCAGCACTTGCGACACGTAATTTGTTAAGCACTCGTTGACTGACCGGCGGTGACAATGTGATCAGCGACTTGTCTTGACTGGTGGAAGCTCTGCAGCTGGTCGTACCAGTCGCGGAAATTCAGGCAGTAGGCTCGCATAATTTGAAGGTACATCGGCGATTCGAAAAACGGGACTGATGATTGAGGCGTCCGTAAGAACGCCATCAATCCCTAGTTTAGTACGGTTGTCGAAAAATCTGTGGCGACCAGCATCAACAAGCAACCCAAAATTTCGGAGGAAGTCGACACCGATAATTTCGGAGGGTACAGACGCCACTACAAACACTCACTAAAAATCTCGGCTAAGATTGAGATCCAGGTTCGTCATGCGATGTACAAATGTAGCTATCCGAGAACCCTTGGCCGCACGCATGTTGTACGTTTGCGTTCGCAAGGATGACGCTGACTTCCGCTCCCGCATCGATGAGGAACGTGTTGGAAGAACGTCGATCCTTAACGTATAACAGGCAATTTATTTGATTGTTGACAGATAAGTTGGTCGTGCTAGTATGCGGGCTATTCGCTTTCCCTGAAGCGGCTGTCTTGCCTAATGCAGAGAGCCGGACAACGTCTAGCTCTTCCTCCATATTGGTTGTGATAACAACGTAATTTTTCGACGGGTTTGGTATTATCTGACTAAGAACGTGCAGAGAAACTGCTACGAGACATACTCGGTGCAAGCATGGACGAGCCGCAATGCACGGTAGCCCAAATGTGGTCTGCATCTGACCGTGGCATACGCTGCTACAAAACCTTCACTGCTGCTATCCTGCTGCAAAGTAGTGATTTTCCAGTCTTTAGGGTCAGAGCCACCTGGCGACTTGGAGCAAATATGAAACTCGGTTTTCATCGGTGAAAAGACATCACTGGAGTTACTGGTCGTCTGCTATGGAAGACGTTTGAACGCAACGTCTGTCTTGCTGTTTACGTATGTTAGGCCGCGTTGACATTGGTCAAATGGATCGAAAATGTTGTTTGAGGCGTTCAGCGTACGAGAAGGGGTCTAGTTCGTCGGTGGTGCGAGAGTCCAGTACCATTTCACTAGGTGGTCTGAGGGTCGTCCCGAACACGAGTTCTGCAAGGGTAGCACCCAATGTCCTCTTTAATTGTATTGCGTGTGCCAAGGAGGATCCCAGGTAGACGCTCAGACTAGCATGAGTCTGATGAAGTAGCCATGATGGCAGCTTTTAATTGTCGATGAAAGCGCTCGACGAGGCCATTGGCAGCGGGGTGGTACGCGGTTGTTCTTAGGTAAGTACAGCCTAATAAACGACTCAGATCACGGAACAGTGTGGAGCTGAACTGAGTCCCTCTGTCGGTAGTGATGGTGGATGGAACACCAAACAGAGATCCAAGATTCGACAAAAGCACGGGAAACGGATTCCGTAGATGGGTCACGTAAAGGAACAGCTTGTGGCCAACGGGTAAAACGGTCAACACATGTTAGAAGATGAGTGAAACCGTTGGAAGGAGGTAAAGAGCCAACACTATCTACGTGAATGTGTCTAAAATGTGCGTCAGGGGTTGCAAATGTACCTGGGGAGTGACTGTGACGATGAACTTTACTGGTTTGGCAACTAAGGCAATGTTTAGCCCAACGTCTAATGCCTGAACGCAAATTGTGCCAGAGGAAGCGATCGGTAATGAGCTTTACAGTGGAGCGAATACTCGGATGTGAAAGACGGTGAAAATGATCAAAAATAGTTCGACGAAATGATCGTGGGACAAAGGGCCTAGGCTTACCGGTTGAAAGGTCACAGTAAACTCTTATGTCAGAGTTAAGTACGGGCAATTGTGTGAGCTTCAATGAGGGGTTTGATCGAAGTTGGACAAGATCAGGATCATTGTGTTGAGCGGCCGCTATTCTCTCCAGGTCGATGGGTGCCGATGACAGTTGATTCATATGAGCGCAGAATAATGCATCGGCAACAGCGTTGTTAGGACCGTCGATATAACGAACATCAACATAAAACTGCGAAAGATAGTCCAGATGACGCCTTTCTCGGGGTGAGTAATGGTCCGAGGCAGAACGGAAAGCGTACACCAGTGGCTTGTGAACTGTCAAGAGTATGAAACGACGTCCTTCTAAAAGGTGCCAGAAATGTTTCACAGCCAAGTATATGGCGAGCAGTCCACGACCAAAGGTGCTGTACCTGACCTGAGCAGGTTGTAGCTTCCGTGAGAAAAAGGACAGTGATTGAAATTCGTTAGCAACTAACTGTTGCAAAACTGCACCGACAGCGGAACTTGAAGCATCTGTCTTAAGGACAAGTGTAGCGTCCTCAGTGGTGTTCAAGTGATGGAGAGAAGTGACCTCACTAAACTTCTGCTTGACGGCCGTGAAAGCGGCTTCAACTTCTGGGGTTATCGTTAACGTCTTTGAGTTTCCTTTCAGTAAGTCGGTAAGTGGATGAAGTAAATCAGCACAGTTTGGTATGAATGTGCCGTAGTAGTTGATCATACCGAGAAATCGGTGTATGCTTCGGACAGATT